ATTAAACATGTTCTGCTAATTAAGGTGAACTGTGACAGCTTCTCTGAGAAGCCTTATTTGAGTGAGATACAGATCCACTGTATTTTGGATCAGTACAAAATTTTCTTTTTACATTTGTTTCCTTACTTTTCTCTCAAAGATTACTACCTGTCCTATTTCGCTACACTCTGAACTGGTAAAACCATTTTCTGATCTATTTTTGTCTTTTTTTTTTAAATATAGTGATTAAATGTTTTCTCTCTCAACGAAAATTAAATGCCTGCAATATACTGCTGCCTGCATCATAATCTATTATCATAATAAGAGTTTTAATATGCTGCATACCTGAACAGCATCTTAAAAATCTATCCTGTTAAACCTTTATTACACCAGAAATAACCAGTTCCAAATTTTGTTTTTACCACATTGCTTTCTATTAAGTAAAATACTAATTTTGACAGGAAGGATGAATGCTATGCAGAACTTTTGTAAATTCAGAAATTTACATACATATCTTTTACAGGGAAAAATTCCATCCAAGCAAAACTGAAAGGATAGATATACATCAATCGTTTACATAAAATGCATAGCTACTACTTCAAGATACTTTTCACTGCTGTTTGTTTTGACCTTGGCTGGATGTCAGGTACCCACCAAAGCTGCTCTATCACTCCCCTCCTCAGCTGGCCAGGGGGAGAGAAAATACAACGAAAAGCTCATGAAGTCAAGGACAAGGAGAGATCACTGACGAATTACCATCATGGGCAAAACAGACTTGACTTGGGGATGTTAATAGAATTTATTACCAACCAAATCGGGGTAGGTTAATAAGAAGTAAAGTCAAATCTTAACCAAATCGGAATAGGTTAATAAGAAGTAAAGTCAAATCTTAAAAAAAAACCCTCCCCAGGCTTAACTTCACTTCCAGTTCTCTACCTCCTCTCCTCCAGTGGCACAAGGGAATGGGGGTTACAGTCAGTTCATCACACGTTGTTTCTGCTGCTGCTTCCTCCTCAGGGAGAGGAGTCCTGCCCCGGCTCCAGCATGGGGTCCCTCCCACTGGAGACAATCCTCCAAACTTTTCTAACCCGAGTCCTCCCCACAGGTTACATTTCTAGTACAAAACAGCTGGACATCCTACAGCTGGGGTTTTTTTAAATTTTATTTATTTGTTCTAGGTGGCATTTCACAGGTTAAGAGAAACACATCGTAGTCCTCTACATGTGAAGCAAGAACTAAAAAAAGACAACTCTGTGGACTACACAGTCTATAAGCAATTTTTCTCAGATCTGTTGCTTTGGATAGCCTTATGCCTCCTCACAAATACTGCTTCCCAGCACAAGTGCCAAGCAACACCAATTTACAAAGGGCAGAAGCCTTCTGAAGGTTGCTATGTATCTGCTCTGTGGCAATAGCTTTTTTTGGTACTCAGAAACACAGCAGCTAAGATATCTGAAGTGGTACAGATAGAAAAGGCTTGGCTAGGCATCTGTTCAAAACATTATGTGACAACAGTAAGAGCTGCCATCCAATCTGGACTATCGTCAGGATATTTCCCACTAAAAATGTCACTTGCAATTATCTCAATATAATTAGAATAATCAATCTTGCCTCGTAACTTACCTGAAGTCTGCAGTTGCTGCAAATGATTCCAGCTCTGTAATAGAGAAGACGCAAAGAAAACCTTCTCCACTTCGGAAGTAGTTGTCTCTAATTGCAGCATAGTCCTCCTGCCCTGCTGTGTCCAATATATCAATTTGAACTTCTTCCCCATCCAGAACCACCTTTTTCCTGTAGCTGTCTGCTTTGGTGGGCTCATAATCTTCAACAAACTAGAAAAAAAACAACTCTTTATGATATAAAATCACGCCTGTACAAGGCAAATGCTTCTATTCACAAAGAAGGATACACAACCCTTTATGATATAAAATCATGCCTGTACAAGGCAAATGCTTCTATTCACAAAGAAGGATATAGCTAACATCTCAAATGGTTACAGTAACTAATAACTAAGCATATGCAATTAGGTTATGTGAAGTACTAAAACGACTCATAGTTAAAGCAAGACTCTTCATCATCCCAAACAGCTTTTAGGTTTTTGCTTTCCTCAGCCATTATATGGAAATTTAGAGGTAATGGCAAGACATCAATGTTTGTGCACTACCTAAAACTCTACTTCTGACATCTGGCTGTGTTCCATTATGATAGCAGGCAGTCCTGACTTTGGATATATTTAGTATCAATTTTTAAAGGACACTGAAGATACAACATCTGCCTTTTAATAAAAAAGAATGACTTTCACTGGCAAAACAAGTAAGGAAACATGAAATGGATTTTCCTTCCTCTCTTCAACAGCAGCATAAAAAACATGGAAAAATTTGGTTGTTTCAGGCATCATGTAACTTACTGAAGTGAAGAAGCTCTGAAACACAATAACTAAGTTCTAATAGGCCTAACGAACAATGCCAAAATATTCCAATAATATGACAGAGCATCTCGCTGCTTAGAAGTCTGAGAAATGCCAAATTTTACCTTCACAGGTGTCTCTAGAGGACCAAATCTCAAGACATGTTTTTGTTTCACTTATCACTTTCATATCACTTCACATACATTTAGACCATTTCAGAAAATAACTGTACAAATATAAAACTTAAATAACACCATGTAGCAAAGATTACCTGAGATAATTTCTAGTGCAGATTCTTACCTCATCATACATAAACTGTAGCGTTAAAGCAGATTTTCCAACGCCACCACTTCCCACCATGATGACTTTGTGCAAAGCCAACGAATTCTGTCCTTTAGGTTTATTTGCTGCCATCTTTGGATTGCAGAAAATTCACAGGTATCAAATGTGAAAAAATCTAGAAGAAAAAAATATTGCTTCATTAGTTTCCTTTTCCTTCTCCCACAAGAACTGTTTAAAGTTGATTTGTTTTAAATACCTACATTTCCAACGACTTAACTGAAGACTTCTGCTGTCTTCAGTGAAAGCTATCAGCTTTTCACTGGAAGTCAATCCACAGCTTACCCCAAACTCATCTTTTTTGTTACTTAAGCAAAGAAATCTTTCACCATATGGAAAGAGCACAAGTAGGTTCACAGCACCCAAGAGCAACTAAAGGAAACGATTTATGTTTTGGTGTGCAGCATTTTCTTCTTGCAACCCATTACATGTCAAGAATTCTTGCTAGTTTACTACACAAGAATTGAAAAAGGAAGCCACAGTGAGTCAACCCCATACAAGAAAACATGTGATATGACAGCTGCAAGGGAAGAAAACAGACTTTTGAAGGAATTTCCAGCTTAAATAGCAAGCACCAAGGCACAGCAGCAAGGATTAGCTAGTGTACTTTTACAGAGAACAGCAACCAAGCGTATCACTTAAAACCTAAAAATATCCAGTTCCAGTAAGTCAATCAGAAACCAAAAGAATAATCCAGTTTACACACAGGGGAAAGATTCAACTTGCCTCTGAATGTAGTTATTTGGTATATTTGGAATAGCTGTCTCAGTCATGTGACTACTTGCTCAAACAAATCTCTGCATCTAGCCAACACCAAAGGGCTCTTTGACAGTCTACTCAGAGAGTCCAATCTATGTGTGCACATGTAAAAAGGTAACAATTTCATTAACTTAAAAAAAAAATCATGTTATAGTTTTAGCAGATCTCCACCTACTATTTTCCTACACCTATGTTTCATTCCCTATCCATCCTAATAATAACATAACTGCATTGGTGAATGTTTTGGCTGCTTGCACAGTTCTTCAGCCATGGGAAAGTTCCTGTACAGTGACAGAATGTACTCTTCCCTCCAAAGATTTAAGGTCAAAACAAGCTCTGAAGTTGAAAAGACACAATGACATCAACATTACAGATCTAATTACAGGATACATTTATGGTAGCAATTAAGTAGATGTTGTTAACTAGAAAGCTCAAAAAGAGCACATTCACATCATGGCAGCACAGCTTGGTTTAATACATGACTACCAGACAATAATACAGTGTAGTAACAAGACACCATTACCTCATTACCTTTACCCACCATGTTCACTTGACAATGTCACACTAAAATTACATCCTCCTGCATAATGAATCACCCTTGCATGCAGCTTAAACAATCAGAATGTGAAGCAAAACCTTTATCTGAATCTCTAGTTGAGGCCACACACTAAGGTTGTGCTAGCAGTGATGCAGTTAAGTGTACATGTATGCTGACTGAAGTTTCATTAGAGCTTAAGCCAATCCTTCTTGGAAGTAAAAACAAATAAATACATAGCATCAAGGTCTTCTCCATTTCTCATGCTGCCATGCCAGCAAGTAGGCTGGGGATAGGCAAGTAGCTGGGAGCGACACAGCTGGAATGTCTGACCAAAGGGATATCCCCATGCCATAGCTTGGCAATAAAATTTGGCAAAGAAGTTTGTTGGGGCTGCCATTGCTGAGGGACTGGCTGGGTACTGGTCAGCTAGCAGTGAGAAAATTTCTTTTTTAATCACTTGTTTTTCTTGGGCTTTTCAATTTTTAAAGAAAATTTATTAAATTATCATTATCTCAACCCACAAGTTTTCTTACTTTTACCCTTCTGATTCTCTCCCCCATCTCAATGGTGGAGTGGGGAAGTGAGGAAGGCAGCTGTGTGGTACTTAGCTGCCTACTAAGACTAACACACAACCTATGTGGAAAAACTCTCCAGATCACATTAGCACCACTACACATTCTGCTGTCAAAGCATTCTGAAAATGCTATTGAAAATTAAGTTGCTTAAACTGTTTTCTCTAGAATTATCTAAGTGAAATAAGCATGAGCAAGCTGCTGTATTCACTACAGAGACATAGCAGAAAAATAAAACTAACATTATGTTAGAAGTTCTTTTAAAAAGAAGATGGATAAGAACAAAAAAAAAACATTTCCATTTTGGCCATCATGGATTAAAAAGAACCATTGCTTTTTACTCCAGAGGGAGTACAAGAACATGAAAATTTTCCAAGCCATATGTATGTTTTCAACCTACTACACTGCATTTTTAACTACTCCATTGTTTTGTCCTTGTACTTTTCTGTTAAAAGTAACAGCATATCCCTAAAGTCATGCTTTTTAGTACGTATTTCAGACACGTAATACAGAGAAAATTCATCTCAATTCCAGTCATCAACTGACAACAGCTCAGTTTGGCAAGTTTAGATTACAATATATACTCAAGAGAAGCAAAGAAACTGAAGCATGAATAAACCTGAATATGGCCTACACTAACCTTACTAAGCAACAAAACAGACCATTCTTCTTTAAGTACTTCAATACTGGACCAAGTCCAAATGAATTCAGCAGAACCTGACAGTTGAGTTTGTGCAAACAATACTACAACCTGAAAAAAATTCCAATACACAATAGTAATGTTTCACATTAACATGTGTTGTAAATTAGTCTTTAAGTAGATTGAGCAATGTGAAAATTCGTATTTTACTTCAAGTTGCAACTGAACAAGCAGTGTCCCACTGTGATGAACACAAGTTGACTCTTTTTGTACTCTGTTCAACAGTTGGCATATGAAAAACTCAACACATTTCCATTCCTAATTTGACCCTTATGAATAATCAAGGTAGTGACAATGGTCCTTTTCACTGAAAATTCTTTACCAGAAAGACTTTATAGCAGCCAATCATTTTCAGAAGCTTTGATAACATCCTTTCAAAGAAGATTGAGTCAAAGAAACTCAAAATTATAAAAACGACCCCATAATCCAATCAGTCAAAGTATCCCAAGTCATCGAGTAATCAGTGTCAGTAAGCAGCATTCCAGTAAGATACTGAAGATAGCAAAAGTTCACGCTACCACAGACTTCAAATCTTAAAGGTAAGCTTGTCTGCCACATTTTGTAGGGGGAGACAGCTCAGGGAGGTCAGTTTGCTCCCAAGTTCTTCACAACCCAATAAAGATATAATGCTGGCAAAACTCACGCCTGCTGAGTAGTAGACAACATGGAAAGAGAGAATTAAGTTACAAACAATGCAAGTACAATAGAGTAAGATACTGTGCAAATGATACTTACTCCAAAGAGACTACTGCCACACACTTCTACCTGTTTCAATGTGCTTTGAAAAGTGGAGGAACCCAGATTCCAATTTTAACAGTAAAGCACCTGAGATGAAGTTCCACGCAAAGTCTTCTCACCTGTAATTTATATAGCCTGACTTATTTTCATAAGCAGCATTAATTTGGGTCATATCTAGTTTCTGAATTGTCCTACTTTATAATTATGATAAAACTGACAGAGACTGTGGCAAGAACCCTATTGTATGAAGCTCAAAGAAGCATACTTTTCTTATTATGTGCACTGTGATTTTTTAAAAATTATTTTAGTCTTCATGGTGCAGAATTAATTGGGGGTCAGAAGATAAACACAGGATTATCCTGCAGTTGAGTCCTATGTCACCCTGGAGCAGAGGGACGTTCACAAAGTCAAGCAGGGTGTTGTCAATGGCTGTATCATCCATTTATACAGGTCAGCTTTTCATCACACCCATTGGCAGTCCCATTGCAGCAATACATCTGATGACATACATAAAAGTTATTCTTAAACAGTTCTTTGTGGAGTTTAACAAATTGGAAGGGAAGTGAAAGCTTAACTGGCTCAACAATGTACTGCAATACCTTCACTCAGGAGAATTGCCTAACCACAATGCTGTGGATCAGTCCTCAGCTCCACTACAGATAAACTGCTAGGAAACTGCCCTTTTCCAACATACTTGAGCAGATAAGTACACAAAACTGAATCTCTGTGACTGCTCCACCAAAGTAAGCAGTTCTCAAAGCTCTTACAACTGCTTTATTGCCTGCTTGCAGATAACCAGCTCCACAGTTCTGTGCTCCATTTAATGGCAGACTTCCAGTTGGAGCTAGGATCACTTTTGTAGAGCCAGGCTAGGGAGCAATTAGATTAACTAAGAACTGCAGGGCTAGGAATTATAATTCATGTTTTAGCATCAGCAATCGCATCTTGTCCAATAGCCTAGAAATCCTGTTAAAGGAAAGAAGAATATGCAGCTAAATCACTTTTAAGCTATTTTTACATGATGAAGATCATCTAGCTGGAGTTGTCTTCAGTGCCTGGCTTCTACCTATATCAACACTAACTTCTCTGGTGTTTTATACCTTACACCAAAGGTCCTCTGTGCAACAAATACAACATTACCTCTAGTCCCCTATGGATTTAAACACAACATTCAGCTCCACCCACCAGAGGAGTGAGCTGTACAGTATTTCTCTAACAAGACTTGGACACAGTAAGCATCATGTTAACTTCTACATCAAGTCTTGGAGCACAGAGTGGTTAACCAGATCCACAAGAGTAATATGATCAGGTGCCAGCACAAAAAAAAAGGTTTTATTTCAAGGGGCAGTATTTTCAGGGAAGGTATCTCTGCAAATACATGGTAGGGAAAAAGAAAACAAAGAGTGTGAACCCTTGATCTCTCTTTATTAGTCTTTGTCTTCCCATCTACTATTTCAGCCCAGTAAATTGAAACAAAAATATGCTTATGGGTGAAAAACCTTACAGGGTTTATCCCCTCACTCATCTTGCTCATCTGATTAAGTTCAGAAGACTCCTCTCAGGCTGCCCTGTTTCTCAGTTGGCTTTTTCTTACAGAGTAACTTGCTCCAAAACAAAGCATGCTTCCTCACGTATCTGTACCATTTGTCATCTACATCCCTCCTCACTGCAATAATCCCAAGGTTCATACACTTGAGAGCAAAACAGCAGCCAACAGAGTAGCTGTGTACAACCCAAACAGGGCAACGGACACCCAGCTCAGATTACTTCCTTTCCTTTACACACAGCTCTGACACAGTGCTCCAGCCAGCAG